TTGGGGGGGGGGGGGGGGTAGAGAGAGAATGAGAGAGAAATAAGAGGCAGAAAGGAGTCGAAAGTAGGAGAGTGAGCGAGGCAGAGCGAGAAGACGGAGCAGAGCGTAAAGAGTATAAGAGCGAGAGAGACAAAGAGAGGAAGCGGAGCGGAAAGAAAGAGAGAAAAGCAAACGAATGACTTTTCAGTACAGAGAGAAAGAGAGTTGTACAGAGCAAAGCAGAAAGTAGCTTTTGATAAATTACGAATAACAATATGACTCCTCGACTTTTTCAAATTATACTTTTTCAGTGCACACGAGTGTTTGTATACTAAATAACTTGTATACTAAATATTTTCTGTGTGGATCTTCAACAAGTTCAATTTTATTTCCTGCAAGAGTCCTAATAATTCTTACAGTAATTTTTATACTCAGTATCATAGGATTAGATATCGATCGCAACTAGCAAATAATGATGTTCAGCATATTCTTTAAACTTTAAAATACTTTAATTTTTAGAATATATGTTTCTGAATAACGATATTTATATCGTTATTCAGAAGTACTAAAGAGTAGTACATGATTTAAAATTTAAAGCATATGATGCCGGATACTATCAACAGTGGTCAGTTTTCATCGATACATAATCTTAAACAGAACGGATGAGAAAATGTACAGTATAATTATTATTCTCAAGGACTATCTATGCAAAGAACGAAATTTTCACTCGACACTGCAACTTAAAAGTAAACTGACCAAATAATAAAAATTTACAGTTTAATAACTTCTACAAGGTTTTGACATGCTTTGTTATATATACGACACTAGCAAAGACTAAGAGGTCGTTACGGTATTTTTCATATACAACAGCGTAAATCTCATCAGTCAGACGGTCTGCGGTCGGCACAATTTGAGCATGGACTTTTAATAACAGAAACAGCTTATAACATTCTAACGAAACAACTTACGAAAGATGGTAGACCGATGCTAGAAATTATTTTCGTATTCCACACGATATTCAGAACCTATGTCTACTACTTTTTTTTGTTGCGCGGTGGACCATGTAACTGACGGTCACGGTTCTCAAGACCGTTGATATTATGAGATGCACATCTATGAGGTGTTTACCAAATATGTTCGGAATACTGATCAGTGCTAACGCGTTATTCAATCCTTCTTGTACATCTAATGAGCGATAAAGATAAAATAATGTGTTAGATTTAACAGCGCGCTCCTCGAACGCGCTTCAATGGCTGAAAAAATTTATCGAATTTTATACATCTCAATACATAACATACATTATATAAATATATGCAAATTGATATGTGTTGTAAAGTTTATACGTAGATCTTCTCAACTTTGCACTAACTAGGTTAATTTAAATATTTATTTATAAATAGTATCACAATGTTTTTAATATTTGAATGTCTCGAACATTGAAATATTTAAGAAATAATATGCCTCCGGTATAATAATAAAAATATATGCAGCTCACTTTTGTCCTTCCACTTAAATTATTAATTTCCAAATAAGATTTGGACTTTTTTACTTAAAGAATAGTCATTACAGTCATTATGGTAGTTACTGTCGTCAGTAACACAATAATATAATATCTTCACAACATCTAAAAGACGTCCTAAATTTTTTAGACATTTTACAAATTGTCAGAAAGACATCTTTATGACATTTTTAAGACGTCTTATATTACGATTTATAAACTTCTTAACTATTAAATGCTTCTATTTTTATTTTAAACTAAAGAAATTACAATGTTTGATATTTAGAAACTAACAAGAAGGAAAAATGTTTAAAAAAATTCTTATAAAAGTTTATTGGTTAATTGTTTGCCATTAATGCATGTATTTTTATTTTGAACTGAAATAAATTACAATCAAATCCCAGACAAAACATGATAATGTCTTAAAGGTGTCATAAAAATATCTTAAAATATTTTGGTCCTCTTAAAAATTTTTTGGAAAGACATCTTTATGACGTTTTTAAAACGTCTTATGTCCCGATTTAACACGTCTTATGTCCCGATTTAACACGTCTTATATCCCGATTTAACACGTTAAGATATCTGTTTAAGACGTTTTAAATCTTATTTTAAACGTCTTAAAGACACCTTATTTAAAATACTATTATCATCTGCAAACTGGCATTGATTCTTAACCGTGAGCGGAGGGAGCAAATCCATTATATAATTATAATTCTAAAAATATATATATATATATATATATATATATATATATATATATATATATATATATATATATA